TTCTCAGGAAGACCCCCCTCTAAAATGACTAGGAGAACACGCTGCTAAAATATTTTAACATATTTACGGAACACCCAGTATAAATAACAATTATAAAGAAAATCAAACACAATTTTAGTTTATTCACTGGGGTACCATGATTTGTACGATAATGTTTATTGAGATTTCCCTGTGTTGAAAAGCTTTTTTGACAAATACTGCAAACATTGGAAATAGACATAAATAATGATATAAAAAGAATGATATCAAAGTTATTATTTGTACGTTATTACGACAGAACACTGATACTACTTCGACACATTCAAGCCAAAACGTGGCCAGACATAAACCAAACCACTTCACTTCCCACTTTTAACAGTTATAACCTCACCTTTTTAAGATTTGACGTCACGATATCTGACATAACATTAGATACTGGCAACGTTGTATTCCAAGGGGGCTACAATTAGCCGCTTATCTTTTTTCATGCTGAATGTGTTTCGCGCAGAGTCCATCCCTTGGTGCGCAGCTCGCGTGGATTCCCTGCGCGCTCACGGACAAGCGGAGGCAGCGCTGCGCTTGGCAGTGTCGGTAGTGCGCACCATGAAGCAGCAACAGTTGCAGGCGCAGCGTCACTGGCACGAGAGTCAGCAGCAGAAGCCCAGCACGTCTAGCGCACCGAGCAATCCGCAGAACGCCAAGGGCTGCATGTCCCGATGTCAGGTAAATTGCTCATGAAATGCTTTACCGAGCTTTATTTTTGAACGTTTTGCACGTGATGAGGAAGGTTTGATCGTAAAAGTGGTAACTTCCAAGCCTGATCAAGAAGCGACTGGAGCAGGGTTGCCAGGTCCGAAAATCGAGTTTCGGTAGATAAGCTCGAGACTTTTCGGTAGAAAATCAGTAGACTCATTTTCTTTCATTATTAAAGGCTCCATAAAATCGCGCGTTTTTGAAAGTTTTTAAACTTACAGGAATACTAAAATAAACATGAGTCAGTAAAGAAGTAAATATGAAATTGTACTCATTTTTAGCTTATTTCTCAACTTAGTTTTCATTAGATTAACCCATGATACAATGAATACATGACTGTATTCATTGTATCATGAGATTAACCTGTGAAAATATCCGTTCAACTTGGCTGATGAGTGAGGCAGAATAAGTAGGTTACAAATAAAATTGGAAACACGAATGTACCAGCTACATATTTCAATATTTGTACTTGGCTCCAAAACTCTTAAATATTTCCAGAAATTTTTTTAACTTCTTCAACATTTCGCAACAGACGTCATTCTGTATCCAGACCTTGTAATTCACTATCATTTATTAAATTTGGAAATATTATTGCAACATCAAAAATGAATTGTGGGGAACCTGATTTCACTATTGCAGGATCCATAAAACATAATTTTATCATCTTTATGATCTATATGGCGGGCTTGATTCATTTTATGTTTGAAAAAGAACTCTAAAATACGACGTGTGCTAAAATAAAAGTCTGCTATTACCAACGTACTTTGATCATGAATGGAAATATGTTAGATTATTTTAAGTAATCCACGTACATTTTTTCAACTTTTATGTGTTACTTTTCGGTAGAAATCTGCATGGTATCGGTAGGTTCCTTGACAAATCGGTAGACCTGGCATCTCTGGACTGGAGTTTTTGGCGACAAACT